CCCACCCGTGTAGTTTGAGCATAATGCCTGTACCAATACCCCGCGGCAGATCAAATACTAAGGGCAAACAGCGGGCGCCTATGGCGCTCCGATAGACAAACACACGACCCTGGACCCTCACAGCCCCTCACCTCGGCCGCGGTTTGGAAAGGGGTGTGTGTGTGGGGGTGTGTGGGTGAGGGGTGGGGGGGGGAGGGGTGTCCTCAGGAATGCACAGACCGCAGATCGGAGACACACAGGCAACAAGAGAGACAGCACCACCGAGTACAGACATTGTACTTGTTCTATACCTACCGTAGTTTGAGCGTTGAGCGTTACGCTTCAATCGACCCAAGTTAGGTCTTTCTTTGCGGTATAAAATATATAAATATATTATATTTGGAGCAAGGTTATGTGTTAAAAATTACTCGCAATTCTCATATAGGGCATTATACCCACGTAAAAGCGGTAGGCTACAACCAATGAATACGTTATTCATTCCCAAGTAGCTGCCTGCCTGCCACTGCCATGTTGTTTTTATCCTTTCTGGAAGCAATGATCTATCCCCTCTGTAGAGGCGGGCAGTCCCGTAGCTTTCTTTTTACCTTCAATCAAAACGACGTTACTATTTATGGCAGTGTTGTGTAACCCGTATAATAATATATACATTTCATAGCTCTGTTATTGTTAAGGGTATGTTGAGGTGTGAGGCGTCCCGATTTCTTGACACTTGTTCCTATTTCTGCCACGGGCGACGGGTAGCCTAAATAGTATTCAACATAATTTCTTTGTGCTTTATGTTCAAGTTCGACTTCAATATATAGGCTGACACGGTTTCCTGAAAGTTATTTTTATATTAGAATTCTTGATACCGTTAAGTTGCTTTATAATGCACAGTCACGTCTTGCCATTCAACACCGCTGCTGCTTTCTGTCAGTGTCAGTGTTGTGGAACAAAAGATACGTTCAATTTTTCTTAGAAAAATTAACGCGGTAAGATTCGAATTCCACAGACGTTGGTGTTTGTACTGAAACTGTCTGCAACCTTCTTGGTCTTGAGATCGTGGCGTGTCTATATAATGCAATACAAATACGCACCAGATTCCGAAGTATGAAATGCCGGTTTCAGTAAATTATGCCCGAAGAGGGTCGATGTTTTGCACTTCTTTTCATCATCATGCGCCTTCGCAGTTACTGTATGTAAGCTTTCAGTACCAGGTCGTTCCATTTCATCACAAGACTGACCTAAAGTTTACTCCTACTTCTTTTGTGGTCTAGGTTCTACTTCCGTCTGTTTACAGGCTCTGACATTGACCTTTTATGACCAAGTCCCCTTTACGAGCATCTTTGTATCTTAGAAGAGGTGTATTGCTAAATTTGCTAAAGTGTTAAGTTCAAGAAATATGATTGTTTTTGAGGTGCTTCTTGGTTCGTTCGCTGAACGTTTGTGACACTGACTTTTACAAGCTGACACATATTCCATGTCTGTCTAGCAGCTGTGATGTCTGCAGTTCGATCCTACCTCATTTAGAAATGACAGTGTATCATGTATGGGAAAAAAGGTTGCCTACCTTAGCTTAATTTCCGTTGTGGGTTGTTGGCGGGTGCTGTGGCGTGGTCTGCTCCTTTTTTATCACACACCCATCCTCCGTATCCCTCCTCATTCCTTTCTTTATATTATATCGTACTCTCAAGTAACACCTCTTATCTTCAGCACTTTTATGATTTATGTGTGTTGTAAGTTCCGTAAAACTCGTACTAGAACTAAACTAATTGATAAAATAGTTGTCAGATTGATAAAACTTTCGCATCTCTTCAATTCTTGCAGTGTGTTTATTTATGAAGAGAAGACAAGGATACTTACATTTTGAAACCAGGAGTTAAATCAACGAATTACCTGTGCTTTCAATTCGTTTCCCACTTCTGTGGAGCGGGTATGTGTGCAGTTAGTGTGTGTGTGTGTGTGTGTGTGTGTGTGTTTGTGTGTGTGTGTTTGTGTGTGTGCGTGTGTGTGTGTG